AAACAATAACTGTAGTCTGCAAGCTTTGTTAGGAATAATAAAGCAGAGATTTTGCTCAACAAAGAGAAAGACAACAGCAAAATACCTATAATAGAATAAGACTCGTTCCAAATCGTGTCAGCAGATGTTAGGTGACCTTCCAAACGCAAAAATTATATCTGCAAGGCCTTTCATCAGTACGATCGTTGGCTACCTTCGTCCACTATGGATGTATAATAAGTTAGAGGAAAGCGGCCAATAAAGGCATAAGTCGCAGTGTTCTGCTGCTGTTACAAAGCAATTCACTTCGAATTTGTGAGTAAGCTATCATTTGATACCTTCGTAGAAACAGTTTATCACCTAAAGAATACACTAGCAGAACTTTTTGATTCAATCTGCGCTGAAAATAGGAAAAAATCTATAGTTTGAACATGCCGCTCAACGAGAGTGCAGGTCCACTTTATGCCACCAAGGGCTCCTTTTTTTGGAGAGCTATCGAAAGGGGCAGACAAATCAACCTTTAATTCGAAGCACATCTGCGGATTCGTTGACATATGAAAAGCTTTAAAATGTAGCTATGGAGTTACAGACTACATTGAATAGTCTCTCGATATGTTAGCGTAACTCCATGACAAGTATTAATCGGCGGAGCTCCTACACTTCAGGTAGATAATGCAGCCAGTTCTAACAGACTTCGCTCTTGCGAAGATAGGAACTCATCTTTCAATCAAAATATGATTTCTGAAGATTTTTTGATAATGAATGTCTGTATAAGCTACAAGATTGGCATAAATGGAAGAAAACATCCCCTAATATCAACTCAGAACACATGGCTATCATTAAAGAGGACAACACTTCTACCATGAAATAGCAATTACTATGAATAATAAAAGAAATGTTGGAGCTGCTAACGTAAAGACCGCGAAATTTTGAAACGACCAGTACAGTCTTGCATCATTTCCTATTAAGAAAATCCGGGAACTAATTCAAAACAAGCGCAAGCTACTCTTACTCATAAACATCAATGGACATATTCAATACTATGAACTGCGCAAGCAACAGCAATGTACGAAAAAAAAGATATCATACCATTAAGTTTAGAAAGATCTGATTTATTAATCATTACGCCAGACTGCATTCTTAAACATATCTCGGAATTTTCACATTGATGTACCGTAAAATGCACACTTGTCAAAAACACCAGTTGCTCAGATCAATATGCAACACAACGTGGTGTTAGTATCGCATACTCCGCATTAATAAGTAATTGCGTGGCAGACGCAATTATATGAAGTTATTAATTATATGTTATTATTATATGTTCTCTGTTCTTAATAAAATAGTATGGCGGCACACATATTTATAGTTGTAATGCCGCCAATGAATGCAGGTGTATAATAAATATAAGTTATTGTTTTTCTGCACTGCTTGGAAAGCCTGACTTGTGATCATGGGTCTGTCTATGATTAGATGAAAAAAGATAAAGAGTTGAGAAAGCTCAGAGCAATCTAGGCAAGAATATTGTAGTGAAAATAGAAAACGATAGAACATTCCAGGGAAAATGTTATGCTTTAATCGATTACGTTTTCTAATAAACCTGAGCCCAATGATGATTTAAACAAATCTTTTATTTTGCCATAATGTTTGCAACACCAAAAAAGAAGCTCCGGAGACGCTACAATTTCTGAATCGGTTAAGTCATGTCTACCCGTTTGTGTGCTGCGTGATATGCGTTATTGGCATACTGCTTCATTTTTTAATTAATAAATAATTTGTGGATTTTTGCTTATTACCCATAAATTATGAAAGAAATTAACACACAATGATGTAGAACAAAAGTAAAGTTTATAAATTATTACTAAATAAATTCATGAAGTGCACAACAACAACAAATTAGTGTCAAAACCAACATACGCAACTAATCCAATTACGGTTTACAACGGTAAGAAAGTCAGAGAAGGTATAATATAAAAAAAATTTCAAACGGTGGTTGGCTAAGCATGGTTATGTCAGTAATCGAGATATACTTTAAAATTTTTAATAAAAGCCTGCCTTCTACTACACTTGCCGCGTTATTTACATATCGTAATCGCTTAATCTTTACAATGAAATGCTTACGTTGTACAAAAGAGATGAATGAGTATTCCTGATATTTAATGCAAATTAAGCCTTTACATTTTTCAAGGTCGACGGCGTATTTTCATTGGAGAGTGGAAATCGATAAGATCTAAGAATGGGAAAATTTGCAATGTTCGCACAGTCCTTCGCGACATTTGTGTGCACTATAATATGCAAAATCCGGAAATCCAGAGTTCCGGATATTTTGATGATACTGCGAACGTCTCACTAGATGTCTCCCTGCTGAGGCGAATAAGTAAGGTAGTAAAAACCGGCATGTCTTCTGCTGAATTGTATTGAAAAAGAGATATTTTTTATTTCGCGTTAGAGTGGAAGAAGGCAATAAGATTTGTAGCTTATACGTCCAGATAATAAAAAGCAATGATTACTTCCAAGAACTATATATATGAATAACAAAAAAACTGTGCGAATGATATGCTAAGGCCATTTATTAAGTATTATATTACGTATATTTGCAGGTTGTTGAATTGTTCATAGTGATCAGTGTTTGCAACGCTGATCACTAATTGAATATAAATACAAGACAAAAAACGATAAATTCGCCTCTCCAATAACGCAAGTTATCTACGCTCATTTTTTGCTGCAAAGATATGAAGGAGGCCACCATATAATCTGCATAGGTCAAAAAAATTTCTAATACTATTCAGCTTGTTGAAAATGAAATGTTCAAGAGATTTATTGTATCATACATTTCACGCACATATTCAAACTCATCCAAAGGCAAGAAGAAAAATTTACTGCAATGCTCAATTTAGAAAGGACGTAATGTAAACAGACAAAATAAAGTCATATATTCGGTGGACATACATGTGCAATTAATCCTCAATTTTTTTCAAAGACTGAAGGTAATACGATGGAATCGGCATTTTGCAGGGACGTATAGTTTGGCTTACAGACTCCGTCTATCATAAAAATAAAGGAACAATAGACGAATTAGAGAATCCCGTTTTTGTGCATTACTTACTCTATGGCATTAATGTAAAGACGCGAAGAAGACATGCGCATTCTTGTTGCCTTGTAAACTTCCGATTTCACACGACCTAGTACCAAAAGCCTTTTTGTTACATTTTTACAATCAAATTCTGGATCTTTAACAAATGCAAAAACACTCGCTCAGAGCTTCATTGAAAATGCACCTCAATGTCTTTAGGTAAAACGCCCTTAAATAATGCTTTAATGGAACGCATATACAGTTGTCCGATTTGTTGAGTATTGAAATTTGTAAAGTACACCGTACCGCACAAAGTGTGATAAACGCCACGTTCGCGATCCGTGTCGTTCACATCAGAACGTGTGAAGTAATTGAGATAAATTCGGTTCTCATGTTCCATCCAATGAATACGTTGGCAAGAAGTTTGCTCTTTAAAATTAAAGAATATGAAAGGTGCACGAATCTCCTCAATTTCCTTAATAGGTCGCAAATTAATAAAAAATCGTTAACGAAACGTACGCTTAAAATGGCAGCGAAAAAGTACATTAAAACGATTTGAACTGCATTAAATCAATTTTAACTTTTTTTTCATAACAATCTCATTGTCCAATAAACTATATATATAGCCCAATATAATCAAACGAGTTAATCGAATGTCCAAAGACAAGCCGGCCATAGTGCGGCCCATATATGTGTGAGGCATTTTATAATCCAATGTATAAGGCCATAGAGGAGTATTAGAAAAAGGCGCAACCATGGAAGAATCATACACAAAACCAAACTCCTTCATCATTAGAAATTGACGATTCCAACCAACTCTTAAAAAAGGAACACGCATACCCCTAATCTCTTCCATACGTACGCTAGCAAAACGATTTAGTATATTAGCTTGCCCTACCATCTCATCAAACCAATCCTCAATTGTGGCATTCTTTGACCACCAAATCTCTGGACTACGCTGGCTGAAATAAAACCACACAAAGACTATTATCAATTGTAGTTATCGCTTTTATACTGCTTATACTGTTTACGTACGTAACAGACTGCACTGCTACTTCATGACCGTTATTCCAAAGCTTTTGAACGTATTGATAATTTGTGTAAGAATTTGGCACAAAAAATGTAGCTTTAATGGGACAATTGTTAGGATTCCGCCTATTACCCTTAAAAAGAGTTTGTGAAAATAACTCCCAATTTTCAAAGTTCACGGGGCCATCAAATGTTAATAGAATCATTTGGGGCACTGATCGAACATCCAAAAATCCTGGTATGTGAGTACCATCTTTAGAGCAAAAACAATCCGGTAGACGACAATAACGGAGGTCACACGGTCCGGCGGCATTGGGATCGTTTTCAACATCACACCAACCTTCGTCAGAAATATGGCCATTATTCCGCTAAGATGAATGCCCTCAGCCAAAACGTAGGGAGCATAGGTTAACATTAGCATAAAGGTAAACTCCAAAGAAGGATGCTTTCTCAGATCGATATGCTTAAGTAATAAAGCAGAAATTAAAGCAAATATCACCCCAATGCCAGCAGAGGCAAAAAACATTTCGCAGAATGTTTTTAACGCTGAGAATATGGCTTCACCGGTAGTTCCTTGGACATAAGCACGACTGTTCGCCGATTGCGTGATAGTAGTAGTTAAAACAATGGAAATAGCATCATTTAGTATACTCTCACCAAAAACCAACATGTTCAGTACAGGATCAACGTCCAATGCGTGAAATATGGCTACTGTGGCAACGGGATCCACTGCCGAAATAAGAGAACCAAAGGCAAATGATTCCGAAAAATTTAGACTGTAATTATAAAAAAGACAAAATTTAAATTCTTTTCTTGTACATCTTGGGATAGTGATATTTACCGATAAGCTACTTCAGCTAAGCCCAAAAGGTATATTCCAGCCCCTATGACTAAAGCTGATAAGACTTTATTATGATTTTATCACACATCGATTGATTTATTGTACATAAATTTCAGAGTACATTATTTACTTTATAAAATTAACTATATATTTGTTTGTTAATGAATAAATCAATTTTTGGCTTTGCGACCTCCCATTTAAAATTATTTTTATTATAATAAAGCCCTGACTGTGTAATGGCTGCTTGTATGACTTAGTAAATTAGTAACGAGCAAGTTAACATATACATAGGTAATAGGTGCTGTGCAAATATAAAAATACTTTTTATGAAACATTCAAAATATCAAAATACTGACTGTTATAAATAATTAAATAAAACTCACATATCAAAGAGGTATTTTTTTTAAATAAAACTTTCAAGCTTTTGACTTTTAACTTCAACTTTTTGTTTTTCTTTATTATTAAACCTTAAAAGACGTCCTTGAAAATTCGGCAAATCCAATACCATTTAAATTAGCAGAAAGTGCCACCTTCTTGACTTTTTAAAATATTGCACTTATTTTCTCTATTCACAGCTCTCATGTGCACGTGTATGTGTACAAAAATAATCTCAGTTTATTTTAAGAACATATTTATGTGCGAGCACTTAAAGTAGCTTGACTTGTACTTGACGATAAACCCATTTCCTCATCTGAATCATCGGAATCAATAGGACTGACACATATAGCTTGATACCATTTATTAGTTAAACCGGCCATTTTGGATTTGCACTCATGCAATTCTTGACTGTTGAAACGGCGCGTAAAAAAAGGTATAAAATATTTACGATCTAAACGACCGAAGCTGTCGATCCGAGTTTGCGCAAATGAAACGTCTTCTTCTTCGGTTAACTCGGATAAATGTTCTGAATCAATGGCTTGACCCCATTCGCGAGTTTTCGATAATGATATCGATTTGGCACGTTTGCGAGAACCGCTGCGTTTTCTAGGCCCTTCAACGACATTTCCCCTAGAAAGACGCGAACGTCTTTTTCCCGGCTTTAAATATTTTAGCAGAGGCATCGTAGATCCGAGCGAAGCTCAGCGCATAACTTATTTATTATCCCGGTTATATTTGACATACTTCAGCAATTGCAAGAATTTGTAGAGTTTGTATGGTTTGAAATTGCAATTGTGATTGCGAATCCCAAATATAATTCTTAATCAAATATATGTTTACATTTGCTTTCCAGACTCGAATTAAAACGCCGGACAAAGCATGCACTGACTAATACTAATAAGTCAGTTGTTGCTGCTTTCAACCCAATACAATCGTAAGCTAGACAATTACACTTTAACAATTTTACCCGATTTGCCGCCTGAGCATTTAAAGCAATTCTTGAATACGTTTCCAAAAATCAGAACTGAGTGCGAGCAAATCCAAGAGTGTCAGAATATATTAAAGACATTTAATAATATCAGTCAAGTGCAGGGAAATGAGATATCATCTGCTGCTAAAGAAGGCCAAGACAGCGGCGTATGTTGGGGACATGAAATTAACTGCACAAGAGAACTGCGCTTCCAAACTCCTTCTTGCTCTGCCGATCATACGGGTTGGGTGCAAAGTAAAGAGGCCCAAATCAATACGTTTTATTATCAAGCCGATTTTGGTTACATACAACAGCAGATTAATGAATTATTATTAATGTGCGAACCAAAATTTTTGACCGATTCCTCTTTGGAATGCAATAAATATTTAAAATTCTGTCGTGGTCGCAATTTGTTGCTCGATTTCCGTAATTTAGCTGGGCGGGCAGAACGTATACGCTATCATATGGATGTGTTAAATGAGGGTGGAATTAAAGGATATTGCAGATTCAATAGAAGCCTCTTGACTGAAGAATTAAGTCACATGGGTGCCTTGCAATCGTGGTCGCCAGAATTACGCAATTTTGTGGAGGCCGACGAGTCCATAATTGAAAATGAAACAATTTGTGATATGTTTATCACCACGCCCAAATTTTTAATGAAAATCGACGCCTCATACAATATGTATCACCATTTTTGTGATTTTTTTAATCTATTTGCCACATTGTTTGTGAATCAAACACATCCTTCGGCCTTCGATCTCAACACGCAAGTGATCATTTGGGAAACTTATCCCTACGATTCACCATTCGCTGTTACATTTAAAGCATTCTCAAAGAATCCTGTTTGGACCTTGAATCAAGTAAAAGGGCAACGTATTTGCTTCCGTAATGTTGTGTTACCACTATTACCGCGTATGATATTTGGTTTATATTACAATACACGCTTGGTAAGCTTGTGACATAGAGAACGTTTTCTCATATATTCATAAATGTGCGTTCATGTTATTTAACTTTAGATCCATGGCTGTGAAAAGAGTGGTTTATTTCGCGCTTTCTCAGAATTTATTTTGCATCGTTTGCGCATACCTTTCCATCCACCCCGCCGGAAAATAAGAATCACATTTCTAGCAAGGCGCACCAAATATCGCCGTGTTTTAAATGAGGATGAATTAATAGCGCAACTTGCGTCTGATGAAGAGTACATAGTGAAAAGAATATCTTTCGAAAGGTAAAATTTTTTTAAATCGCAAGAGCAGATTAAATTTCTAATTTTTGATTTGATTTTTGTAGAGGTTTAAATTTCTTGGAACAATTGACAATAACGCGTAATACAGACATTCTAATTGGTGTACATGGAGCTGGCTTAACGCACCTCCTCTTTTTACCTGACTGGGCTGGTGTTTTTGAGCTGTACAATTGCGACGATCCGAACTGTGAAGCGCTTGAAATTATGCCGCGCACTGGTCAGCGGCCATTCGTAGTCAAAACAATTCTGATGAAAAAGATCTCATGCGGTCGTTCAGCCCCTTTTAAATTGTTAATTATTCATCATTAAACTTGTAGCAGCTGCTTTAAACTTTTTCAAAGTCTGTACAGCAATTTTCGCAGCACAGTCTGGTATAGTTCCTATTAATATTTTATTATTATATTGTCAATAATTTGGCAACAATTCAAACATTATTCTATGAGGTGTTTCCCTGCGAAAAAAGCGATCGAAAAATGAACACAGGGTTCTTGCGGTGAATGCGTGCAGCAAGTGTTTTAAGTGTTGGCAGAAATAGTTGGCAACGTATACTTCACGTAAGCATTGATGATTAACTGAAAAGAATGTTTTATTTTTAATAAAATTCCGACACTTCTTTGACGCAATGTAAATGTTGTGAGCCGTTCATTGCAAGTTCGAGCAGTAAAACATGGCATATTATTGCCTATATTCTCACGTGGGGGCCGTGGATGATACCCAAAATTGCGAATGGATGTAAGAGAATGCTTTTAATGTGTGCTGTTGCTGTGTTGACAGCATAAGCAAAAAAAAAAGAGAAATTTTGCAAATCATGTTTACGTTCGCTGATTGTTCCGCAGTCAACTTGCGCTTTTATGATAACCACACACAAAAGCACCTCTTAAAGTTTTGCACAAATACTGGTTTTGTACATGTATAGCCCGTTGCGGCTGCTGTAGCACGAGACCATTTAAGTATTCCGCCACGTCTTTTATTGCTTTTCTTTACACCTTGTTTTAGGGGAGACGAAGACTTTAGTTGACCTACGAAGATAACAAAAAAAATATATATATATATAAAAAATAAACTTAAATTTGTTGCTACCTACCTGCAATTAAATGACCGTCCTTAGCCTACAGATGCGATAAAGTCGAGAAAAATTGAAGAAAGTCTACCCTTGACGGTGCTGACACTGGCAACGATTTACAATTACTTGAAATTATATCACAGGCGATACGTATACCTTTGAAGATAAAAAAGAAAAAGAGAAAAAGATCAGAGTCTTTTCGCCACGTTTTATTATATAAGGGCTTAAGATAGGGGAATCAATTTTACGTTTCAACGTTACCGTGCCTCTGCAAGACGAAAAGTTTTACCCAATACCCCACTCGCAAATTTTTTTAGCTTTCTTATGTCTCCAAGACTATTCCGGTAACTTTTCTTTTCCTCAACTTCTCACCATCAAAGATCTGCTTAATGCGGAGAATTCAACCTTCTTGTTATCTTGCCTAAGCGAGAATACACTTGAGCAACTTTCTTTCGGTTATCTTTTCCCCATCAATGGGCGATCTGCACATTTGAAATAATAAAATAAAGAAAATACACAACTTTCTGTGTGTGTGAACGTATGTCAGAAAAGTTTTGAAGTTTGTGGCCTCAAAGTGTCTGAACATGAGAAAATAGATTCCGAAAGAATCAATGCAAGCAAGCGTTAGCAAAGGTTTTCCTCGTCACTTCGGCAATAATTATTCAGGGGAAAAGGATTATTTTGCAACACTATCAAATCTGAACAGAATGTTTAAATATTTATTGCGAGCTCATATTAATATACACGCAAAGATCTGTAGAAGAAGCTGGAATGACTCACTTATGACTTTCTCACCAACCTAATACTCAACCAAAGCATTCAAAACTAGTGCGATGGGAAAAATCGAAAAGATGAAAAAAAAGAATTATGTCAATATGCAGCAATCACAGCAAATTCAAAATTCAAAATGTTATGAAAAACAAACAATAAAAGCCATTTATTTTAAAGTTGAAATATATTAATCAAATTGTTTTATTAAAGTGGTAAATGGTCGTTGCCAAATTATGGATCAATTTGTACACAAAAATATATCAGATATTACATATTACATATAACTAATTAATTAAATTATATATTATATAATTATATATTATATGTAACTCCTGTAGCTGATAAATCCGGCCACAATAACTGAGGTTTCGTATTTTTTATGCAGTTGTATTGCGATACAATGAGGTAATTATGTACGTGAATTAATTATTTACTTTATTAAAAAGTTGGAATCTTATCTTACCTTCAGCACAAATTCAATATGGTGACATTCATCGGCAATGAACGCCTTGTAAAAGAACTTAAGACCCGTGATACCTGTTTATATGCCAATAATTTTTTTTAAAGTTTTGAGTGCGGAGTGTGCACAAAGTGATACCAGCATCCCAGATTCAGATTCAAATGACTTCAGAAATACATTAAATATGTCCTCATCAACCTGTACGTCCAAATATGTTTGGGAAAGCACGTAACAATGAAGAATAGCGTTTAACTATGGACTTGGGCAAATGCCATGCATATATTTCAGATAGATTTCTAAAACGAAATTCAAAATTTACCAAAGATAATTTTGCAAAGTTTTTACCGATGAATGACAACACAAACGCTATTGGAAAAGGTTCGAATCGATTCACTTTTTCAACCACTCGTCATATATCGCCCTATTCTAAAAAATCATTATATGGAAGAAGTTGTAATTTCAAAAATTTCTCAGGAAAAGTAGTAAAGTAGTATTATTTCGGCATTTTAAACTGGTATGAAAATTTTGGACCCGCTGGAGCAATTTTTGAACCCCTTCCCATGTAACGAAAACTGAAGTTCAGCTAAAAATTATATCATAACAGTAAAGAACTTAACTGTGCCAAATTTGGACCAATTTTTTTATCCAAATGACTTCAGAGATAAGGACTTTCACTAAAATTAATCCTTTGTAGAGCCGGAAACTCCAAGTTTTAATAAGTTTAAATAATGAATAAACCGTCTATGCCTATTTCTGGATCCTGCCTTATGTAAGCATTAAACTTGTACTACATTGGGTTGCGTTTTGCTTCTCCATAAATACATCCACATGAAAAATATGCCTTTATATAGAAACAAGGTAGAATGTTTGTGTTCTATAATAAAATAAGTATTATGTTAGACAACGCGGCGTATGGTATGTAATGGTCGTCCTTGCCCTGCTATGACAGATAAAAGAAGTTAACTAGGCCAATATTAAGGGTCATCAA